GGGGATGTGGTGAAAGGGGAACTCTCCTATATTGTTGGTGGGAATGTAAACTGGTTCAGCCACTGTGGAGAATATGGAGGTTCCTCAAAGATCTTCAAATAGCACTACCATATGATCCAGTAATTCCATTCCTGGGTATCTACCCAAAGGATAGGAGAATGCTTAATTGGAAAAGTGTTTGCACAGCTATATTTATTGTGGCATTATTCATGATTGCTAAGAATCAACCCAAATGTCCATAAACAGATGCATGGATTGCAAAAGTGTGGCATATATAGTCCATGGAATACTATTCAGCCATAAAAAAGAAGACCCTGGCATTTGGTAAAGAGATTTTTGCTATAGTTGTGTGCACTCACCAGAGAGAAAGAATGTGAGAAATCCCCCCCCCCCCCCCCCGGAGGGTGGGCAAAATCCCCCCCCCCCCCACCCAGGAGGATGGCCATGCCATAATCCCTTGTTTTCCACTCTCCTCTTGGGATTTTGGGCATGCAAACACGCACACATGCCCAGCATGAGTTTTAAGCCTCTGGGTCTGTTACTCGAAATGCGGTCAGCCTTGTGGTAGTCCAGTGCCTTAGCCACTACACCACCTGCTGGCCCCAAATGGACTTTAAAATTTAAACTGGTATATCCCACACAATGAAATATTACTCAGTCATAAAAAGAAAGTACTGATGCATGCTATAACATGGATAAACCTTAAAACATTATGCTAAGTGAAGGAAATCAGTTACAAAAAGAAAACTTCACATACTGTAAGGTAAAACTTATATAAAATCAAGTAGGAAAATCTATAGAGAAAGTAAGTAAATTAGTAGAGTCTAGTTAAGGTTGAGGTGGGAAATAAAGAAATAGGATGTAAGTGCCATGCCGGACAATGTTAAACAATGTAACATACATGTAATTGAAATCTCAAAGACAGACAAGAAAGATGGACAGAAGTAATAATTAAAGAGATAACTGCCAAGAATAACCCAAACAAATGGAAGTGTATTCACCAACAAATAACCCTGAAGACCCCCATGGGGGGGGGAGGGGAGAAAACCACATTTAGGTACATTAAAGTAGAACTTCTGAAAACCAAGCAAAATAATCTAAAAAATAGCTAAAAAAGGAAGTAATATCAAATTAAAGGGAAAAAAAGCAAGAATCACTAACTTTGCATAGAAAATATAAGCTAGGAATAAACAAAATTACACACTCTTAAGTGTTAAAAGAAAAAAACTGTCAATGTTGAAGTCTATGCTCAAGCAAAATATTTTTTTTCTTTGAGAGATTTTCGCTATAGGGCATGTGCACTCGCCAGACAGAGAGAGAGAGACATAGAGACAGAAAGCGAGAAATCACCCCCCAGGGGGGATGGTCACGCTGCAATCCCTTCTCCTCCATTCTCCTCTCGGGATCTTGGGCACGCACGCACACGCACCCGGTGTGAGTTTTAAGCCACTGGGTTCGGGAAGCGAACCGTGGTCGACTACGTGGGAGTCCAGCGACATAGCCATTACGCTAACTGCTGGTTCCCAAGCAAAATATTCTTTAAAAATCATGACGAATTACAGAATTTATCAAACACAATTTTAAAAAATGTTAGGAAGCTCACATCATAAGAAATAGCTTTCAGACTTTAAAAATTTATCTGGCACGCTAGTGACGGTGCTGGATCCCACATAACCGACTATGTGACTGGAGTCTCAGACTGGGCAGCTTGAAAAACACACCAGGTGTGTCTGTGCATGCCCAAAATCCCAAGAGGAGAATGGAGAAGGGATTTTGGGTTGGCCATCCCCTCCAGGATGATTTCTCACTTTCTCTGTTTCCGGTGAGTACACTCACTCTATGGGAAAAAGAAAAAGAAAAAAGAAAAAGATCAGGACCAGCAGCCGATGCAATTGTTATGTTGTTGGACTCTCATGTAGTCAGCTGCAGTTTGGACCTGGACCCCGGAGCTTAAAACTCACACCAGACACATGTAAGTGTGTTTCCAAAATCCCAAGAGGAGAATGGAGAAGGGATTGAGGTGTGGCCATGCCCTTTGGTGGTGATTTCTCACTTTCTATCTGTCTCTCTGGTGAGTGCATGCAAGCACCCTATAGCAAAAATCTCTCTCTATATATATATATAAAAACTTAGATGAAAGCATAAAAATGCAGAAAGAAATCTGTGGAGCAAAAATAAAAATGTAATTGTTTAAAAGAAGGAAATAATAGCACCTTCGGTGATTCCCAATTCATTTTATGAAGAGTATTACACTTAACCAAACCAGACAATAGTAGTACAAAACAAACCTCCAAAGTGCAGACTAATATTCATCATGAATATAAATCTAATATTTTAAACAAAAAATGGGGAATATTATAAATAAAATATTTATATTTTATATATAAAATCAGTCAAAATATTTCATTCCAAGTAGGAATTATTCTGTTAATGCCAAATTGGTTCTGTATTCAACAATGTAAACCACCATATAAATTGGCTAAAAATTGCACGATCACATCAGCTGATGCAGAAAAAGCATGTGATAATACAATATGAACTCTGTAATTTAGGAATAGATTTGTATATCTTCAACCTGACAAAGAGTATAAAGTCCACAACTAAAATCATACTTACTGGTGAAAGTCCGAATGCTGTCTCCCTGGCATCATGAAAAAGGCAAAAGGGCAAAATGATGACTTTGCCAATTCTTACACAATGTAATACTGGATAATGTAAGAGATAAATCATGGAGATTAGAAATAAAGACATAAATTGTCTCTATCTGCAGATGGCATAATTGTTTAAATAAAAAGAAATCCCAGAAAATCTATTTTTTTTTTGAGAGGTTTTTTGCTATAGGGCACGTGCGCTCGCCAGACAGACAGAGACAGACAGAGAGACACAAAGCGAGAAATCACCCCCCAGGGGGGATGGCCACGCCACAATCTCTTCTCTCCCGTTCTCCTCTCGGGATCTTCGGCACATACGCACACGTGCCTGGCATGAGTTTTTAAGCCACCGTGTCCGGGACGGGAACCGCGGTTGACTACATGGGAGTCCAGCAACATAGCCATTACGCTAACTGCTGGTCCCCCCAGAAAATCTATTTTCTAAAAAATATCTAGGATGTGGTAGCACCTGTCCTATGATAAAGAAAATCTAGAACTATTGCTATAGAAATGAGGTCAGACAGATCAAAGGACACAAAATCAGCATTCAAATATCAATTACATATATTTTTTTACTAGTAATAAACACACAGGATCTGAAACTAAAAACACAATACCATTTATAATCAAATAAGTAATTCCTACATGTAAACTTAAAATACATATACACATACACAGGATTTGGATAATAAAGCCTACAAAATGCTGATGAATCAAAAGGCACTATGTACAGTGAGAAAAAAGTCAATCTCAGAAGATTACATACTGTATAATTCCATTTACATTAAATTCTTGAAATGACAAAACTACGGATATGGAGAAAAGACTACTGTTTTCAAGGGGCAGAGATGAGCAGTACAAAGGGTTAGCATGATGAAATCCTTTTATGATTATAGAACAGTTCTGTTAGTTGTGATGATTATACAATCTTATACATAGGATAAAATGGCACAAAATTTTACCCTCAAATGCACAATACATGTAAAATGGCAAAAATATTAATAAAGTGTGCAGTCTAGATAACAATATTGTACTGGGGCAATTTCTAATTCTGATATTTAACCAGTTATATATCACATTGGGAAAAACAGGGTGAAGAGTAAATGGGATTCTGTACTAATTTTGCAATTTCTTGCAATGTACAAATATTTTAAATAAAAGGTTAAAAATAAATAAAGAATAAGTACACACAAAGGCTCTTGATCATTTCAATTATTCATTTGATGGTCTTTATTTCACTTTTACTCTCATCTATCTTTATGAGGACAAGTCAAATATAACTTGGAATCTTAGATTGGATCTTGGAATATAAAAAGGGCATAAGTAAAAAAAAGATTAGTGAAATTAGAATATATTCTGAAGCTTAATATTATAGTAACAAGATGAATTTTGTAAATTGATCACCTTCCTTTGATTATGTAAAATTTACATGTAAACTTAAAATACATATACACATACACAGGATTTGGATAATAAAGCCTACAAAATGCTGATGAATCAAAAGGCACTATGTACAGTGAGAAAAAAGTCAATCTCAGAAGATTACATACTGTATAATTCCATTTACATTAAATTCTTGAAATGACAAAACTACGGATATGGAGAAAAGACTACTGTTTTCAAGGGGCAGAGATGAGCAGTACAAAGGGTTAGCATGATGAAATCCTTTTATGATTATAGAACAGTTCTGTTAGTTGTGATGATTATACAATCTTATACATAGGATAAAATGGCACAAAATTTTACCCTCAAATGCACAATACATGTAAAATGGCAAAAATATTAATAAAGTGTGCAGTCTAGATAACAATATTGTACTGGGGCAATTTCTAATTCTGATATTTAACCAGTTATATATCACATTGGGAAAAACAGGGTGAAGAGTAAATGGGATTCTGTACTAATTTTGCAATTTCTTGCAATGTACAAATATTTTAAATAAAAGGTTAAAAATAAATAAAGAATAAGTACACACAAAGGCTCTTGATCATTTCAATTATTCATTTGATGGTCTTTATTTCACTTTTACTCTCATCTATCTTTATGAGGACAAGTCAAATATAACTTGGAATCTTAGATTGGATCTTGGAATATAAAAAGGGCATAAGTAAAAAAAAGATTAGTGAAATTAGAATATATTCTGAAGCTTAATATTATAGTAACAAGATGAATTTTGTAAATTGATCACCTTCCTTTGATTATGTAAAATTTAATTGTAGATTTTTAATATTCACCAGTTGACCTGGGGAGAAATACCAATGACAGCAAAAGTGTTGAGCAACTCGACCACTCAGACTAGTGAGAGGATAAACTGGTGCAACCAATTTAGGAAATGGTCTCATAATTTAACAAAAAGTCATACATATGTCAGCCTTACAATGAAGCAATTCTACCTGTTTTCCCAGAGAAATCAAAACACATTAACACAAAAATATTTGTACAAGAATGTCTGTAGCAGCTTTGTTTATATGGCTCAAATGTAAACCCAAATTTATATCAAAAGAGGCACCTACAAACAAATTGTGGTATTTTAAAAAAAAAATGAAAATATACTCAGGAGTAAAAGGAAAAAAAAAAAAAGACACAATAGCTTGGATAAATCCTTAAAGCATTATGCTGAGAGAATGAAGTGAAATAGGCAATTGTATCTAATGTACGACTACTTCTGATACTCTAAAACTGGCAGAACTCATCTATGGTTGAAAGTCAACTGACTAAAGGGTAAGGACTGGAAAAGGGCCACAAGGGAACTCACCGAATTGCATATATAAGAACTATATATTTCAATGGAAATAATTTTTCTAAAAAGACAAGAATGATAGAATGTTGTCCTTGACTTTCACTCACTGAGGATGATATATCAATATCTGAGTATTAGTGAGACTCAATTTGATCTCCTGATTTGTGATGACCACCAGTCAAATAGGAAAACACTCACTATGCTTGTATACTACTAGGTGAATGTCTTGTTCCCTGACAACTTTCACAACTAATTACTTTGATCCTGAGTAAATACTTACTAAATATTTCTAAATGTTTCCAATTCCTTTTACATTGGCTGACATTTTTAATAAAAGAGATTTTACCTTTTTAAAAGGGAATTATAGTTCTTTCTTAAAAGATGGGAAATATGTTTGTTTCTTTAATTAAAAAATTGTTCAAGTAAGGTGACTAGCATAGATTGGATGGTTTAAACAACAAACATTTATTTCTCATAGTTCTGGAGTCTGAGAAGTCAAGAGATCAGTGTGTCAACAAAGCTGAATTCTGATAAAAACTCTGACTGCCTTCTTGCTGTGTTCTCACAAAATAGGGAGAGAGGGAGCCAAGGCAGCTACTCTTCTTATAGGGGAGCCAGTCTCATCATGAGAACTCCATCTTTATGACCTCTTATCAACCTAATTATCTCTCCAAGGTACCACCTCCAAATACAATCATATTAGGTTTAGTGCTTCGACATACTAATTTCAAAGGCAAGACACAAGCGTTCAGTCCTTAATACGCCCTTTCACTTATTAGCGGCAAAATGTTCTGGGCCTTTTCTGAACAATTAAAGGAACTTAAAACATTCTTATTCCATTTACCTCTCCCCTGATTTATATGTACTTTTTCATAGGACTTAATTATATACATGCTTTAAAGTCCAATATATACTAATTGTTTTTACTATTATTGCTACTATTGTAACTTTACATAAACTTAGATTTTTTTTTTTTTTTTACCCATTTCTGTTTATTCTTCCATTTCCACTATTGCCTCTGGAATCTTTTCTTTTGTCTAAGAACCTCCTTTAATATTTCCTTATGTGAAGACCTGATGGAAAAAATTCATGGCACTTGCCATTCCTCAAATGCCTTCATTTTGATAGATATTTTCACCTGATGTACAGATTCAGGTTGGTAATTTATTTAGCTCTTCGATTACATCATTTGATGCCTTCTAATTTCCACTATTTGTTAGGAAGTCACTTGTGAGTCTTATGTCCTCCTTTAAAAATAATATGCTGGGGGCTGGCAAGCGGTGTGGTAGTTAAGGTACTGGACTCCCACAGGCCAGTCGCGGTTCAAGTCCTAGACCTGGTGGCTTGCTTTTTCACCCCCCCCCCCCACCCCTCTCTATGTCATAAGCTATAGCTCATTTTATTCTAATTCCTGTTTCACGAGTCCACCAGTCTTCAGAAATGTTATTTACTGATTTCTATGTCTAGCAACTTACTTATAATCAAGGTTTCTAGTTGTATCATATAAGCATTTTCCTTTACGTTGCTCCTTCTTACATTTTAAAAGTTTTTCTCACCTCTTTTTCTTCTGACCATGGAACCATCACTTCTATAAAGATAAACCTTGCTAAGCTTATTCAAAGGTTTTACTGCAAACCAGATTGCCATTTAGCCCTGTTCAGGTCAGCATTTTGTTTTTTCTTTTTATCAGAAATCTCTAAACCAATTTTTATCTTCATAGATAGGAACCCAAGAAGAAACTATCCAGTCACTTTCATAGCCAGAGAAAAAGAGAAAAATGATTTGATAGATGCATATATTATGATTATCCTGTATCTAGTTACTTTTTGTTCTTAATTGCTGATTTTATTCTTTAGGATTTATATTCTTCAAGATCACATAACGTTAAAAAGGCTCAATGTTTACCTGTTGAATACTACTCTTATAAGTAATTTTAATTTGTTCTAAGAAATATCTAAGAAGCTTTGACTATAGTGTGGGGTGACTTATTTGATACAAATTATATCTGCTGATATTCAGAAACTTATCATCATTATATATGAATACTAATTACAGTATGTAAAACATGATTAATTTTATCAAAAGGTACATCTCTCCTTTATTGGTGATTAAAATTTCAAACTAGAAGGGCCAGCAGGTGGACTGGTGGTTGAGATGCTATACTCCCACAAGGCTGACCACCGTTTTAAGTCTCAGATCTGGCTATTGCTTTCTCACTTTCTCTCTCTCTTTAGTGAGCACAGGTGCCCTATAGCAAATTAAAATAATAATAAATAAAATTAAATAAGTAATTTTTTCACAAATTTCATACTAGAAACTTAGTTTTATGAATCTATTGCAAGTGGGTATGACAGACCAGTTACCATAACAACTGGTGTTGTGGCCAGAATCAAAGCAATATCTACAAAATCTCTTAAGCAAAGCTTAAGCCATGAAAGAACTCAAATGAATTCAGACCTGCCTCCCTTTATAGATACATTCCAGAACAACAACAAAAAAATTTTAATCTCTAAGAAAGGCATTAACACAGTAAAAACTACTTCAAGACCCAATTCAAAAAATGTACTGAACAATGCTAATTATTTAAAACAATTATGTCTCTCATAAACATGCACCCAATAAAATATGCTTTACGATGATTTATAAAATGTAAAAAGGCTAGGTTGTACAGACTACTTGGTGAACTTCAGGATGTTTCTCTCATATAAAAGTACAAAAAACTATTATGCAATGTTGTATTCCTTTGGTTTTATTTTCTAGGATAAAAAAAGTATAGGCATATTTTTAAGTAGTCCTCTTGATGATATCCTTTAAAATACTGAGTCATTGGAACAGTCATGACAAATGTTTTGCACAGAAAAACACATGACAACTTTTCCAATGACCTGATAATTTATTAATGGCTTATTTCATCTTTCCCAATGATCAGTATTAATCAATGTCACTGTCAGCCTTGATTAACTGGTAGAAATTTTCAGAGCAGAGTAAGTAACTTATGTGAACTTTTCCCCAATCCCTGAGAATCCTAATCATCACAAAAATGTTTTATCTTTTCATCAAAAATCTCTGGAAAGAAGTTGTGTTCGTTCATTGTTAATAGGGCAAGGAGCAGTATCATAGAGGGTTAATCCGTGTAAATTGGCTTCCACCCGTAAAGAAATTTTCTGAAACAGAAAAGAAAATTATGTACAGAAGTTTGCCACTCCTTCAATATGTTCTGTAGACTCTTTTTTGTGATTATGAATGTAAACCTATTCTAACGGATAGCAAGAGTGAGACAACTGTTGTACTGCCAAAGGTATCATCTTTAGTATCAAATGATCTCGGAAAATGAATCTTCTATATTCAGAAAATTCCCTTTTTTTTTTTAATTTTCTACTAAGAATCAGTAAAACTAAACAATGAGAATGACCTATGTAAACTTGCACAGAGTTGATGGAAATTTTAGGAATTTCTTCCAGTTTGTCATACAACCCTATTTCCAAGGCTGAGCCCTGCTAACAATATATTGCTTCTCCAAAAACAAAGCAATTGATCTGAGAGTTTACTCTTCCTGCATCACTGCTTATGGTGTCAAATTAAAAGTTAATTTTCAAAAAGGCTGGAGACTTGCTTTTGAAAATTCTCTTATTTCACCTCAAGGGAAGTTTGACTGCATAAATCTAATATTATGTTTTCTTACCTGAAAATCACGGATGTAAGTCAGGAAAAAGCCAAAGAAGGAAAATGACATAGACCACTCTGCACCAGTGGTGACCACATGAAGCACATAACCCTTGAGTGGCAAGGGAAAATAAGAGCAGTTTTATAAAATTTCATTCAAATGATCAATTGTAGTTTTCAAACAAAAAGCCCACAATTTTTATGAACCAATCTGTCTTCTAAAAATTAACTCTTGATTTATTGGACATTTCTCAGGAAATAAAAAGACATTAGAAGTCTTCTTAAATGTAGAGCAAATGAAATTTCCATTTAAATAATATAGACAGAATAAGAAAATTTCTACTCTACAATCAAGGGGTCTCCCCTAAAATCTTAAGATTCATAAAAAGTCACTATGAAATGCTTAACAATGCTCATGATAAACTCAGAACATGCTAGTCTTAAGAGTATGAAACAATATACAGGTTATAGTTAAGAGAATCTAGTAAACTCATTTATTCTCACAAACATTCCTAAAAATTTTAAAAAATAATAATAAATTAAAATAAAACACAACTAAGTGGTTTGTGAAAACAGGTGAATTCATTTGCTACTTATTCTATGACTGTCCTCTTTCATTCTCAGGATTAACATGCTGTCTCCATTCAGATATCTAATATAGTGAAATCCAAATATAGAGTCCATAAAAATTTTTCAGGAATAAAAACTGGGAGAAGACATCTTTTCAATTCAGAAATTAAGTGTTCTAATAATAAAAGATTTCAGTTGTGTATCTTCTTTACCCACGTTTAGGAAGGCAATTTATGAGAAAACTCTTTTGTCATCAACATTCTTTTCATGCCTGAAAATATCCACCAATGACAGAGGACAGGATAATAGGGATGGTTCTACATAAATGCTATCATATCTCAAAATAATCCCAACACGTACACTATTCTATCAAAAAGTTTCATTTTTAGTGATGAGATGAAAATCAAAATCAACCAAAACAGTCGTCATTAATATGAAACTAAGTTTTATAGAGTCTTAAGTTCTTACTTTCTCCTCAGGGTTCCAGTGGAGTTTCTCTACTAAATCAACACTAAAATGGGTATACAAAATTGATGAGCAAATCAGCACTGTAAAAAAATAAGTCAAGGAAGAATCTCAGAAGACTGCCCTGCCTGTAAGTTTAAATTAGATTCAAGGCAAAAATTGCTATGAAGACCAAAAGGATTATCCCTGCATTTGTTGCCAACGTCCAATCCATTTTCTTAAGTCTATTTTCTTTGTTACAAAGCAATGAAAAAATATAAAACATGCCCAGATCACTACAAAATTCCGCTCATAGTCAATTCCCTCTTCTGCTCAAAAAATTACCAGTTCTATCCTAAACTTCTACTAGATATTATTCTTAGGGATGAGTATGACCATGCTCTATATTACATCTGTTACTGGGTCAGTTACCTAAGTCCCATGTACAATCTGAATTTTATGTTTCAAATCCTTAGAGTTACTAGAATCTCTACCATTAAAAAAAAAGCTGCATATAACATGCCCATCGTGATCACTTAGATTTTGTTACTCAATTCTCTCCCAAGTTCAGCCACATTTTATAGCAAAGGATACTGGTTAATGCACTTACTACACACCAGATAACCAACAGCAGTCTGATCCAGAAGATTTGCTTGCCATGAATTTTGGGCTGCATTTGGTAGGAAAGGATGGTCTGAACAAACATATATAATGAGCCCATGCCAAAGGTGAGCACACCTCCACTTACGTGTGCTACTAAAAGGGTTGTTTTCTGAGGGGTAGAAAAAAGAAGTCAACAAAAAACACTCAAAACATACTGGCCACACAATATTTAAAAGTACAAGTCATGATTTCAATAGAACATTCAGTAAGTGGAGAAGATCTATAGATTCTACAAATTACTTCCTGAAGTAATTTTCTCTCAATACTCAAGATAAAACCAGGGGATTAAAGTAAAATAAAACTATTTCATATGCAACCACTGAAAATATGACAGAAATTATTCATTTACTCTATTACTCATTTAATAAAATGTTTATTTGGTGCCTATTAGATGCCAAGCACTGTTTTACGTCCAGAGATGTATTAGTAAACAATAAAGACAAAATCCAAGCCTTACAGAATTTACATTCTAAGTGACCATGCACAAATAATAAGTAAATTCCACAGCAGAGTAGAGGCTGATAAAGGTGACAGAAAGAGTAGTGGCAAGGTAAATTAGATTGGGATGGCTAGGATGGCTGAAAGTGCTGGGAGCAGAGAGTTTCAATTTAAATCCAATTTAAAGACGCCACAAATTAAATACAATTTAAAGAATCCAAAAATTAAAGCATTCTCCTTGACTCTAGTTTTTATCGTTTTGATTATGTGCAACAATGAATTATGACAAATTGTAACTTTTTTCCTTTATCTCACTCTTACAGTTACCCATTTACATTTTACTTTTTAATATTATACATGCCCTCTGCTTAGAAGTGACATTAGCTCTTCAAAAAGTCTACAATTGAAGACTTTTGGTTGAATTCCTCTATTTTTCTAAACTGGTGTCATATGTATCTTACTTGATTGAGAAGCTACTGCACAACACTTGGTACACAAGATACTTAATAACTAAGACGACCAAAGATAATAGATCATTCCTTTTATAACCAACTGGGCTCATTAAACATAGAATCTATTTTTCCTAGTTGAAGGTTATGAGATCCCTAAAAATAAAGCAACAGACTACAGTTTTTTTTTTGTTGTTGTTTTGGAGAGGTTTTTTGCTATAGGGCATGTGTGCTTGCTAGAAAGGCAGAGAGTGACAGAGAAACAGAAAGCGAGAAATCACTCCCCAGGGAGGATGGCCACGCCGCAATCCCTTCTCCTCCATTCTCTTGGGATCCGGGGCATGCACGTACATACACACGCTGTGAGTTTAAGCCACCAGGTCCAGGACTCGAACCGCAGTCGACTACATGGGAGTCCAGCGACAGCCATTACGCTAACTGCTGGTCCCAGACTAGTTTTTTGTTGTCTTTTTTTGTTTGTTTGTTTGTTTTGCTAAAAGTATCAGCTTCATTTTGGAAAAACAAAGAGATTTCTATATATGATTCAGAGTATTATATGATTCAGAGTATTATAATTTGTAATAAAATATGACTATGGGGAGAGGAAATAAAACATTGTTACTGCCACTTTGGGTAACAAAGAAAAAAATTAACATTCAGCACCCATTAGCTATAGTAAGTAATAGCAATATTTTCCTGGTTTACATTTTTTTTTTAAGAGAGATTTTTGCTACAGGGTACGTGTGCTCACCAGAGATAGAGAGAGACAGAGACACAAAAAGTGAGAAATCACCCTCCAGGGGGATGGCCATACCACAACCTCTTCTTCTCCATTCTCCTGTTGGGATCTTAGGCACGCATGCATGCATGCCCGGCGTGAGATTTAAGCCACCGGGTAAGGACTCGAACTGCTGTCAACTATATGGGAGTCCAGCAACATAACCATTATGCCATCTGTTGGTCCCAGGTTTACAATTATTTTAAGGATAAGAACAGGAATATGGTGGTTATGGTGGCTGGATCCCAGAGAGAGGAGGAGGAGAGTATACCTTTGGTTACGATGTGGGCCGATACCAAAAGAAAAAAGAACAGGAACATGGGTAAACTTTCTCATTTAAAAATATTTTCACAGGGCTGGCCCATGGCCCAGTGGCTAGAGGAGCTGGATTACACATGGCCAACCATCACATGGCTTCAGTTCTGGACCCTGCTGCTGAAAAAGCATGTCAGGTGCATGTGCATGGGTCCAAAATCACAAAAAGAGGGAGCAATGAAGAAAGGACTGCAGCATGACAATTCTCTATGGAGGGTGCTTTCACTGTCTCCTCTCTTTCTGCAAGCACACACATTATCTGTTAAACTAAAAAACAGAACATAAGGGAAAATTAACATGTACTGGCTCCATGCTGCAGCAGTAATGTGCTACTCAAAAGAAGCTAGATTCTGGGACTAGCAGTTAGTGTAACAGCTATGTCGCTAAACTCCCATGTAGCAGACCGCAGTCCGAGTCCCGGACCCGGTGGCTTAAACTCACACCGGGCACATGTGCGGCACGGCCATCCCCCCTGGGGGTGATTTCTCGCTTTCTGGCTCTCTGTCTTTCTGGCAAGTGCAGGCATCCTATAGCAAAAACCTCTCCAAAAAAAAGAAGCTAGATTCCACACAGCAACAGCAGTTTGAATCCCCAGCCTGGTCAGTCTGAAATATGCAAGGCACACAAAAGTGTCCAAGATCCAATGGGCTGGAGGACTGAGGGAAGGGGATGGTAACATAACATTCTGTGGAGGGTGCCCTCTCTCTCTTACATCCTCACATGCACGCACACATGCTTTATCATGAATAAGGGAAAAAATTTTAATATTTTCATATGCACTGATGAAGATAAATACAGGGAACCAGCAGTTAGCATAATGGCTATGTTGCTGGACTCCCACGTAGTCGACCGCGGTTCGTGTCCTGGACCCGGTGGCTTAAAACTCACGCTGGGCACGTGTGCATGCGTGCCCAAGAACCCGGGAGGAGAATGGAGAAGAGATTGCGGCGTGACCATCCCCCCTGGGGGGTGATTTCTCGCTTTCTGTCTCTATGTCTCTCTCTGTCTGGCGAGCGCATGTGCCCTATAGTGAAAAAAAATCCTCTCAAAAAAAAAAAAAAAGATAAATACAGACACAGTCTGTTCGATGTCCACCTGTGTTGGTAACCAGTTACATTAACACAATCCCATGAACTGGAAATAAGAACAGGCCCAGCTGTCATTGTACAGACAGTAAAGGTGCTGCTATTGGATGCTGAAAGCTCCATGGAAAGGCTCCAGGTTGGTGTCCAGCGTTTACCTGAACACACTTAGCATGCCTGTGGACACACCTGTAGTCTTGACTGGCTAAGGGCTAGGAAGAAGACTGTGGTATGAAACCCCATCCTGGGGATACATCCCCCTCCCATTTGCTCTCACATGAAGAAAACAAATAAATACATCTAAAAAATAAAGGGGGAATATTTGCTATATTTTTATATTTTAAATAGAGGTATATAAAATGGGTTTCAAATGGTAATATTTTGCTTAGAATATTTAATTTTGTCATGATAGAGAGCAAAGAAACATCTTGAAGGATCTTGAAATGAACAAAAGAGATAGATGAATATCCTTTTAAAAGAATACTAAAGTTTCTGGTGATTTTCTGGCCCTATAGGAATGAGCTTTTTATTTCGTTTTAACTAGGCTTTGTTAAAGAGAACACTTCTGTACTTACAGTAGTTATATGTATAGACAGATGTTAACTTAAAGAAAATTAACAGTAATATAAATAACCCTCTCCATGGAAATGTAAATTATGGAATGCAATCTATTACCACCATGTGATTTATGATTAGCTTTCCTAGTCTGTATGCATTCTTATAATAAATTTATTTCAACATTCCTTGACTATAAATGCATGGTACTCTGACTATTCTTTTGAACTAGTTTGTAATGTCTACTGTTTCCCTTATTACAAAATAAATAAAATATTATAATTCATAATTTTATCCTTGTTAAAAATTTATCTTTTGATGGCCAGCAGATGGCATAGCGGTTACATCAGTGGACTTTCTCATGGCCGACTGTGGTCCGAGTCCCATACCTGATGGCTTGAAATTCATGCCAGGTGCATGCACATGCATGCCTAAGATCCCTAGAGAAGAGTGGAGATGGGATTGCAGCGTGGCCATCCTCCCAAGGGGGTGATTTCTCACTTTCCCTCTCACTGTCTGCCTCTCTCTCCAACAAACTCACACACCCTAAGGTAAAAATCTCTGAAAAAAAAAATTATGCTTTGACAAAACAAAGATAAACAAAAATTACAGAGGTGCATGCAGCTAGGAACAAATCTTTGATACAGAACTTATATATTACATATTGAGTGATCTGTAGTCTTTATTTAAAAGCAGTTCATGAAATTTAGGAACTAATCTTCTGTTTACTAATCCTTTTCTCTTCTGAATCTCCTTGAGGATAAATCTAGGAAAGGAGAATGCTATCTGATGACAGAGGCATTATACAGTTATGCACCCATAAGCCAAAAAATACCAAGGATTACTGGCAACTACTAGCAGATAGAAACAACTAGAAGCTAGAAACATATTCTCCCTCTGAGTCTCTAAGAAAGAACCAATTAATACTTTGATTTCAGACTTTTGGCCTCCTGAAATTCTGAGAGAATATACTGCTGTTTAATCCATACTGTTTGTGGTATTTTGTTACAGCAGCCCTAAGAAATTAACATACGTTTCTGCTTACCAGTCTCTTCCTCCAAGTCTCAAGCATGAATTTCCTAGGAAGGGAAAATTCCTCTAAGTGGACACTAAGGACACTTACTATGTATCTGTACTGCTATATACCAGATACACACTTGTTCTAAAAAAAAATCTATTTATATTTTTAAGTTAGATCTTTCAGGTACCATAAGATGGCATTTGCTAAACATCTCTTTAAATGTAGGCAACTACAGTAATAGAAGTGTTTTCTGTTCAGTTTGTTCCCTGTGGCCTCTCTCAGTGAGTTCCTGAATAATTAATGAGAGCATGTTTGTGCTAGGTACTATCTAAAGTATTGGCTATGCAATGGTAAACAAAACCACTGTACTCATAAATACTGGAGAAACACATCAATTAAAAATTTTTAAATGAACAATGAATTATATAAAATTAGACCATAGTAAGTGCCAGGTGCTTGTAGAACTCATACACAAAAGAAAACCTGATATATATTGCAGTAGCAGCTGACAGAAAAGTACAATCTGCACTGAGATCACAAAGATACCTGTCTATTTACGTTTAGGGACTATGGCATACCCAACAGAGGAAAACTGCATATGAGAAAGAGTTAAATAAGCTTGTGTTATTTAAGGAACAAAAAAAAAGTCAGTGATAGCAGGGTCTTCAAAAAGTTCATGGACAATGTATGTTATAAAAAAACTATGCACAGATTTCAAAATATTTTTGCACCAAAATAAACTCATACTTTAATTCCATTTTCCAATAAACTTTGTGAAGCCCCCTTGGGTACAATGGATATTAAGAAGGGGAATGATACAGAATCAGGCTGGTGAGCCAGATCATTCAAGATCTCTGAGTTAATTAAGCAACTTATCAAATGTCTTTCTCTTGATTCTATTTTCATGCAATTATGGAACTTATGCAGCTTTAAGCAAGGGTATAGTGGAGCAGAGTGAGATATACAGACATTTCCAAAAGATCGCTTTGGCTGCAATATGAACTGATTAAAGAAAAATGTAAGAGTAAATGGAGAGGAGCCTCTGAGGGGGTTATGGCAGTAGTCCGGATGAGAGAGGATGAAATCTACGTTGACTGAGATGATGGTAGAGAGGGAAACACAGACAGAAGTGTGAAAGAAGTAAATGCATTTAAGAGGTAAAAACTAGTAAGTCCCTACTGTATTTAAAACATAGGGCTGACTTCTCTTCCAAGCCAGCATCTATAAACTATTTACGGATCTCTGTAAAATGGTTTTCTACATAAATCAACTGGTGTTTATCTCTGCAAAAGAAAAGGAGGAAGAGGCAATGCTCTCATCATTTTAACTTATTCTATTTTTGTTCACCAGAGTGTGTGTGCACTTGCTAGAAAGAGACAAAGAGGGAGAGGGAGTGTTCCTCCCCTCAATGGGGCGTGGTCATGCCAGAATCCATTCTTCATTTCTCTGCCCTGTTGGGGTTTGGGGCATACAGGCACATACACCTGTTTTTGCCATAGGGCAGGTGCCACCACGCCCCCCGTTTTTGAAGATTCTAGAGCCAGGATATGGACTGCTCAGTAATGTGGGACCCAGTCTCCTTAATCCAAAAGAGTTGGCCCTTATCACTTTAAATAAGTAGCAAAAGTTTATATTTAGAACAGATAGCTGTTTCATATTTGGATAATGCTACAGGGTTTGCTTATAAACAAGGTCCAGCAATAAAGTCATTAGTGAAAATTGAAGACATCCAAGGTTGTAAGAAGAGATACAATTATGAGAGAAAAAGTAATTCAATTCAAAATTATTACAAGGCCAAGGGGACTCCTTGTGGGGGTAAATTAGAATGGAAGCTGAAGACTGGCCCCATAATTTAGTGGCTAAGGGAGCAGATCCCAGATGGTCAACCACGGTTAGAATTCCAGCCCCAGAGACTTGATAAGTATATATGCTTTAAATCCCAACAGAAGGGGAAAATGGAGAAAGGATTACAACATGAACACTCCTCAGTTTGGGGTGGGGTGAGTAGGTGTTTTCTTCCCTCTGGCAATTAAAAAAAAAAAAAAAAGGAATGGAAGCTGAAACAAAATAACAAAGAAAGGATATAATCTATTTAGGTAGATAAGATAAAGGAGGAATGACAGCTTGTGTGGGTGCTATCAAGAATTGACACTGACCTGGGACCAGCAGTTAGTGTAATGGCTATGTCGCTGGACTCCCATGTAGTCGACTGCGGTTCAAGTCCTGGACTCAGTGGCTTAAACTCATGCATGCCCATGTGCGTGCGTGCCCAAGCTCCCAAGAAGAGAATGGAGGAGAAGGGACTGCGGCGTGGCTATCGCCCCCAGGGGGGTGATTTCTCGCTTTCTGTCTCTGTCTCTCTCCATCTTTCTGGCAAGTGCACGTGCCCTATAGCAAAAACCTCTCCAAAAAAGAAAAAAAAGAATTGACACTGACCTTGACCAAGTTCTGTAGATAAATATATGGGATTCATTTTTACCACACAGGCAACAACTGGAACAAACATTCACTACCGGTTTGCTAACAATTCCCCCAGAAAACTTTTAACACTGAGCTACAGAAACTAATTAGGAGAGGAAGAATTTTATTTATGGCAAAGATAGCTAGCTACTTGTCCAACAAAAATTTTGTTCCCCTTCCATAGTATAAGGTTATTCCTGGGAAATGCCTAGCAAAACTGCATTTCCCAGCCTTCCTTCCCCTGCCACAGCCCCACTGCACCTAGCAAATAATGTTAGTGGACTGATGTGAGTCACTGACATGTTCCAAAAATTCCCTCCTTGATTAAACTCTACTCAGTTTCCTCTGAACTCTCCTCACAATGAGGCCCTAACTTCTGGGCTGTGTTCAACTCTGCATTGTTTAAGTTTAGCAAGAATTTTGCTAAATCAGTATGCCAGAATCCCCCATACTCAATAGCAATCACTGTCAACATCTGATCAGGTTCTTCAACCTTCACCACTCCCCCAAGTGATGTCTAATCACCTGGCCTGACTCTACCCAGGTCAGTTTACCCAGAATCCCTCCTTACCTACCTTTGTTATTTTTTCTTCAGTAATTTCCCATCCACTGACCCTGCCCCTACTCCCATCCCAAATTATAAATTCCCACTTTTTCCTGTATTCACAGTTGGACCCAATGTCTCTTCCCTGTTGCTCTGTCTGTGGAGAGTTTACAAACATCTAGTGAAGTCTGACTCCAACCTTAACGTTAAGTATTCCTTCAGAAAAAGCTGGCAGAGCTACAGATCTTCCCTTTATTTCTACACGTATACAGCTAAACACCTAAGAATACAGGTGATCAATAGAGACATCTGAAGTATACAAAATAAGTAAATGATCATTACTTATAACATTCAAAACAAAACAACTATTTAAATCTATAATTGTGTCACTTATAATCTCCAAGTAAACAGTAAAAAGAAAATAATGATTATCCTTTAGATCCTAAAAAAAGGGCAATTCATTTATTCAGATTTCTGAAGGTTAGTTTTTAAAATTGTGACTGTAATTATTGCAAAGGGGGTCAAGTAATTCAAAGGCAGTGAATACTAATTTAAGGTGAAGAAACAAGAATTGAATGTCCCTGGTTTCCTTTTTAACATGTATATTTATAAATTTCAGGAAGACACCTATACTCCGATTAAAACACAAACCTGAAAGTTTGCCACAATAGTAAGTCCTAAACAACCCAGTATTCCAAGCACAAGGCCAGCCTTGTTTAATTTGATGATACAGTTCTCTTCAGGATTCAGAGCATGAACTTGCTTATAACGAACATAAATGGTAGCCACACCTGCAAAGAGATCATTTGAAAAACAACAAAGTAATAAATAGCCAAGGAATAAAGATGCCAATGAAGAGTTCACAAAGGTCTCTGCTACCCAGAAGCACAAATTTTCATTTTAAAGTTAACCTGGGGGTGGGAAGAACATTTGTTGATTTTTAAAGAACTTTTTAAAGATTGCACACAGAATTATTGCTATCTCTGGTGACTGAAGTACTATACTAGCCCGTCACGGGTCTAATATTTACAAAGGTTTAGGACAAAATCTAAGAGATAAATTTGATGTCTTCTGAAAATCTCTAATAGTCAGCATTACATAAAACACAATTTTCTTTGATTAGCATCGAAGTCAAAAGTAATTAAGTTCTAGAATATAGATAAAATAGGTATAGGCAAAAAAAAAAAAAGCTTAATTGATTTACTCACATATCATTTCATTTCAAAGTACTATAACTTGGATCAAACAGATACAGTAGCCAAGTTTTATTTATATATTTATATACACACACACACATATATATATATACACATACACAAACATATATATAAAAGCTCACTTTACTATACATGTTAGTCAAGTAAAAGACAAACTGAACTTTCTACTGCAGAAATATTACTGAAGAACTCAGCAGTGTGGAAACAAGAGATATGTGTTATAGACATGTTTCTAAAGTTTAGACATAAAATAAATTTCTGTAAATTGAATCATTTCCTGACTTAATTATAAATATCATATAGAAGTATGCTAAAATATTTAAAATTTCATGGGAAAAATATCTCAGTGAACCATTAATAAAAATTTGTCAAAAAAACTGAATAGAAACTTAAATACTATAGTAGGAAATCCATTTCTCTGACATTAGAATGTTATTGAAAAATCAAAACGTGGTTCCATCTCCATTTCTAAACATCTTAACTATTCATCATAAAGAAACTTAGTTGGAGTTAGTCATGGTCAGTTCTGTCTATAGCTCTTCGTATTCTATTGGCTGCCTAAGAAGTCCACTTAAGGGACCAGCAGTTAGAGTAATGGCTATGTCGCTGGACTCCCATGTAGTCGACCGCTGGACCCGGTGGCTTAAACTCATGCCAGACACATGTGTGTGCCCAAGATCCTGAGAAGAGAATGGAGGAGAAGGGATTGCGGCGTGGCCATACTCCCTGGGGGGTGATTTCTTGCTATCTGTCTCTTTCTGTCTTTGCAGCAAACGCATATGCACCATATAGCAAAAACCTCTCAAAAAAAAAAAAAATCTACTTAAGACATCAAGGAAGATTGGGTTGTATTTAACAATCTCTATTTGGACAAGTAGTCAGCCATATAGAAAAATTCTAAAGGTTTATTTCAAAAATTTAACATTTTTAGAAATGTTTAAAAAGAGCATAATCATCATCAATAATTTAGTGGTAACAATCCTATATACAGCTAGAAAGTAAAACAAGTAACACGACAGAGTTTAAAGAAGAAAACAGCAATCTGGCTATTAATTTCAGTTGTTAAAACCACTCTTATTACTTACATAAAACTGCAGCGATATTTAGCATTGCCCCAAACAAGCATTTTTCTGGAGCTACTGTACCAGTGTCACTGAAAGAAAAGAGAAGGTATGTGGATTTCTTAAATAGAAATGCATAAATATTTCTTCTGTGGGATAAAAAGTTAATGGAAGTTACTTCAAACCCTTTATCTTTTAGAAGTCTATGAGTTTGTGGCCATCAAATGGTGTAGCAGTTACATCACTCCCACATGGCCGACCATGGTCCACATACTGGACCTGGTAGCTTAAAAATACGCTGGGCATGCATGCATGTGTGCCCAAGATCTCAGATCTCAGGAGGAGAATGGAGGAGAAGGGACTGCAGCATGGCCATCCTCCCTGGGGATGATATATCACTCTCTCCATCACTGTTTCTCTGTCTCTCTCTCTCTCTCTCCCTGGCGAGTGCACACACCCTATGGCAAAAACCTCTATTAAAAAAAAAAAAGTCTATGAGTTTAACTTGTTTTAGAAAGAACACAAGACGCTGAGCTCACAAATATTTGCCTACTTCTTTTTACTCACATCATTTAGAATTTCACCTAATAAAAATCAACATAAATTGATTTTTTTGTTGTTTAAATTGTGACATGATGGTTAAGGTGCTAGATCCCACATGATCAACTGTGCGGTTCAGGTCCTGGATCTGGCAGCTTGGAAAGCATGCCAGGCGCATGTGTGTTCTCAAAAACACAAAAGGAGAAATAGAGAAGAGACTGAGGTGTGACCATAACCTATGGGGGATGCTTTTGCACTTTCTTTCCTTCTCTCTCTCTCTCCAGCAAGCACACATGACCTCTATGGGGGTGGGGGAGACTGTATTCCAAATGCTGCTTTTGTTTTAGATTATCCTTTAAGTAAGCAAAAGCATGCATCTCCAAGATGGTTGGCCAAGGGTTGGCCAATTATTAAAAACTCTTTAAAAGGAAACCAGAACCTTTGGTTCTGAAGTGGTATGGTATTAACTGGTCTCCAAGTAAAAACAGCCATACCCTTCACTGCACCAGTACAGTACTTCAATCCTGTGGTCACCATCACAAAAAAATGTGTCAGACCACTTGATGGTACACCATTACAAAAAAAGTGAGACCACATAATTTTTCAAGTTATATGTTTATTATATCATTATTCCACATATTCATTATTAGAATATTTTGTATGTTGTAATGATATACAGTGAATGGATGTAAAATACATAAATAAATATACATAGATGGTCTAATATTTTCTTCTCATACCCCATGACTAGTCTCATGTACTCCCACAGCATCTAATACTTGAACCAACTAAAAGAACACGAGAGATGTATTGGAGCAAACTGCCTTTGAAGTGAAATTTACATTGGCTATGGCTCTGTAGCTATTAAACCTTTTGGATGGGGTCTGTGAACTAAAAGGAACTTTGCAAAGGATATAAGTTAACCTAACAAATGTTCTGTAGGTGAACATGAAACTGAATACCCACACTTAAAATGAGCCTAAGGGAAGTAAAAATAAGCATTAAGAGTTTAAATACAATGGACTGCTGGAGAAAGATTTGAGGGCAATACACAGTTTATTAGCCAAAAAATATAAAAACAGAAGAGGGACAGAAAAGGAAGTGATTATGGTATTGTGAGAAAATCACATGTAGTACCATTAGAAAACTGAAACTCTGAAAAAGAACTCAATGACCTCTTCAATTATTAGAAACTCTTTAAAAGGAAACCAGACAAGTTTTCAGAAGAATACTGAAGGGCTCCCATAAATCTCAAATACATATTCTCTTGGAGTTATTAAATAATGGGTTGGCTCCTTAACCTACATGCTCCTCTAACAGACTGGTGATTATCTATCAAATTATTCCTAAAATTGGGGACCAGCAGTTAGTGTAATGGCTATGTCGCTGAACTCCCATGTAGTCATGGTTCGAGTCCTGGACCTGGTGGCTTAAACTCACGCCAGGTGCATGTGTGTGCGTGCCCAGAATCCCGAGAGGAGAATGGAAAAGTAATTGCGGCATGGCCATCCCCCCCAGGGAGTGATTTCTTGCTTTTTGTCTCTCTGTTTCTGTCTTTCTGGTGAGCACACGCACCCTATAGTAAAAACCTCTCAAAAAGGAAAACTTACATGTAAAAATATTTTTGGATTTTATAAATCTTCCCAAGTGCAGCCAATTGGTTTATATCCTTTAGCCTGTACCATACCACTGAGAAACAACAAATGGAGATATCAATTCCCAGGATCTTTTCTCAAAAGTTTAAAAAGATAGACTTAACTTCTTAATTTATCATGTTTTAAAAGTTGACTACTTTCTGTGCTGGAAAGGTTATTTTTCAAAAGATAAACAAATGAATAAAGGAAATATCACAGTGAAAACAAAATAAAAAATATTATGTAACAAACAAAATTCATTTGGCATCTCCATGGAGAGATGATGTTCCAAAGGCATTGATTAGAAGCTGAATACTTTCTTGTAAGTGGAAGGAATCTTAACTGTATATACCAGGTGGACTCATTTAAATACTTGGAGTTAATCAAATCCAGTGGTATTGTACTAAGTTATGTTTTCTTCACTTCCCCACTTTATAGAATCCATTTAACTTTTATATAAAAGTTTAAACCTTAATAGCTAGGAAACAATTCATGATGATTATGGTTTTCACATATCATCTCTGGGAATCTGTAAATTGATACGGTGCTTTTGGAGGGATATGTGGCGGTATCAGACTTAAAATGTTGATGCCTTACTACCTAAACCAACAATCTTACATCTAGGAGTTTATGTCACTTAACTATTAGCACAAGTATGTAGTTACACTTTATAGAGTCTTCATTACATAGTTTTGAACAGCCAAAAAAAGGGAAAGAATAAACAAGAAACTGGCATATCAACATGCTATACCTTTTATAAGTAAATAAAATGAAAAATAAAAACAACAACAAACATTAACAGTGAGAAGAAAGGAAGGAGAGAAAGAGTAAGAAAGAGTTTTGTATAAATATAGATGACACTATGGTGGAAACTGAAAGATTAGAGAACATAGAAGCATTGAAAATGGTTCTAGATACCGGAGACAATGTGAGAGGGTGGGAGAGAAGGGGGAGAGTGTAAGGAGAGAAATTCAGGAAGAAAATAGAGGCAAGACATTTATAGGAAACAGAAATGGATTATTGTCTGTTGATGATAATGTGTTTTGTATCCTCAACTCAACTGGTATGAAGTTATTCATGTTGAGTAAATTCAACTTATAAACTAAGTGATGTATAGTGATTAAATGTATACAATAAATTAAAATAATAAATGAAAATATAGATGACAAAACAAACCAAACTCTGGAAGGAAGTCTACTACACCCCAAACTATGAATTACCTCTGGAGGGACAGAGGAAGGACAGAGGAAGTCTGGATGGGGTTAGAAAGGGGCTTTCACTTTTTATTTTTATAATCATTCTCGTATTATTTAAAATTTGTTTTAATGATTACTGCATTTGGGAACCAGCAGTTGGCGTAATGGCTATGTCTCTGGACTCCCACATTGTCGACTGCGGTTCGCGTCCTGGACCTGGTGGCTTCAAACTCGCGCCGGGCGCGTGTGCGTGCGTGCCCACGATCCCGAGAGGAGAATGGAGGAGAAGGGATTGCAGCGTGACCATCCCCCCTGGGGGGGGATTTCTCACTTTCTGTCTCTATGTCTCTCTCTGTCTGTCTGGTGAGTGCACGCGCCCTATAGTGAAAAAACTCTCCCCCGCCCCCCAAAAAAATGATTACTGCATTTGTAGTGGAAAAAAATTGTTATAGACAAAGCACGTGAAACTGAATACCCACACTTATATCATTACTAGTATTAAGATTTCAGAAATATTACCTATCAATTTTGATAATGTGTCAGAAATATATAAGCAGCATGTTATAAAGAGTTAAAAGCTCAGCTTCTAGAATCAAATTGCCCAAGTTTGAATCTTTGTTCACACATACTGAATTACATGCTCAAGCAAGTAACTTAACCTTCCCAGACCTCATTCCCTCCTCTAATAAAACTAACAGTTCCTACCTCATACAATTCTTAGAAAACTTCAATTATTTAAGACATGAAGAATGCTTAGGATATTACTTTGTACACAGTAAGTAAAGATTTTTGCCATAAGGCATGTATACTCACCAGAGAGAGAGAGAGGGGAAAAGTGAGAAATCACTCCCCTGGGGGGAAGGCCACACTGCAATCTCTTCTCCGCTATTCTCCTCTCAGGACTTCGGGCATGCACAAACATGCACTTAGTGTGATTTTCAAGCTGCCGGGTTTGGGACTCAAACTGCGATTAACCATGTGGGAGTCTAGTGCCTTAACCACCATGCTAGTCTCATCATTTCTTAATTTTAAGGGGAGAATAATTCTATCTTCTGAGATATCTCAAATACTTATTTGGAAGACAAGGCACTAAGGGATCACAATTCACTAACTGAATCTTAATCCTGCATTAAATCCTCACATTTCTGTCACATACATATCATGTTACTTTTATTGTTGCAATGTCAATGTAAAAATCTAAATTTTAAAATGTTGACATTAAATGTTGGTTTCAACATTAAATTATGAATGAGATAATGAAAATGTTTCACCAACCTGATATATGGCAGAATAGGGTCGACATGGTGGAGAACTATTGCAGTAATGTAAGAAAATATGAAAGCAGAATACGACCAGATCACAAGGACTGAAGGAAGGAAACTGAGGCCTTGCTGAAACCACCACATTTCAAATGAATCTTCTGAAGTAGAAAAAACAATTAGAAAAGATAATTCACAAGTTTCCTATATTTCACTTCAGCCATCCATTCCCACAGACTTGAACTTACCTCCCTAGGCTCTTATCAGAAATCATCCCCCACACTATCCTAACACCTGCCCTTCTTTGCCTTCTCAGTAAATGGAACCAAGATTCACCTACTTGCCATAGCCACGAACTTAACTTTCTGCCCCATCTTTCCACACATAAACAAGTGCCAAGTAGAATTTATTCTACTTCATCAGCTTTTTGAAACCTATCCCTTTTCTCCATCTTCATTGTCACTACTATTCCTAAACTGCTATCATCTCTTGGCCAGACTATTATAATTTCCTAAATGATCCTTGTGATATTGTGAAATACATCATCCTGCTTCCTACAAAAAGCTCCTAAAAACGCTTCGATCTCTGAAGTTATGAGTGACTTTTATATACTAACAAGATGACTGGAGGTTGGCAGCCCCTGGGTGGCTTCATTATGGGGACTGGTCACAGAAAAGACCAAGGCAGGATTAAAGGGTTTAGACCTTCAGCCTCATCCCCACCCTCAACCTCTGGGAGATAAGTTAAGTTGATCACTAATGGTCACTGACTTAATCAACCATGCCTGCATAATGAAGCTTCCTTAGAAACACAAAAAGAAGGGGTTTTAAAACTTCTAAATAGCTGAAGTGGAAGTTCCTGGAGGGTGGTACACCTCAAGTAGACATGGAAGCATGAGACCTCTTTCCACATGCTCTGCCCTATGTATCCTTCACGTATATTCTAATATCTTTTTGTTGTTGTTGTTAGAGTGCTCGTGCTCATGGATACAGAGACAGAGAGACAAAGAGAGAAAGTGAGAAACCACCCCCCCAGGGGGATGACCATGCAGCAATCCCTTCTCCATTCTGTTCTCAAGATTTTGTTCATGCATGCACACATGTATGGTTTGTTTCTCAAGCCACGGGGTCCAGAAAAACTGCTCAGTGGGCCATGTGGCAATTCAGCCATCTTAACCTCCACTCCAAGTGCTGGCCCTGTAATACCCTTTAAAATTAACCAGTAAACATGTTTCCCTGAGTTCTGTGAGCCACTCTAGCAAATTAATCTAACTCAAGGAGAGAACGATAGGAACCCAAATTTACAGCCCTCAGTAAGAAACACAGGTGTTAATAAAAACCATTTGGGACTATGACTGGCAGAAGAAGGGGGACAGGCAGTCTTGTGGGATTAAGCCCTCAACCTATGGAACCTGATGCCATCCCTAGGTAAATACTGTCAGAACTGAACTGAGTGAGACCTTTTAATGAGTCTGAAGCAAACTGATTGCTTGATTGCTAATGGAGAGAAATCTCCCCACATTTCTTGGTGACCAGGGGAGAAATATTCACGTTGATTACTGAGCAAGAGAATAGGAAAAAACACTTTGGTTTCTCCTTCATTACTCAATTCTCTCCAGTCTTGATCACAACCAATCTAGACTAGCCTAAAACTAGAGTTATCCTTCTAATTCTAAAATACCAATCTGGTCACCTTAAGAGAATAACGTGAATTCTTCAGAGGTTTGAATGAATTCCTCAAAGGTTTCCCTCTAGGCTTATCTAGTGTCTTTCCTAACTGGTCCAAATGGTCTTCCCATTATCTGATCTTTACTATCTTTGTATAGTAATCTCTGGTCACTCTTTGCTCCCAATTCCTTGCTCTAGCCATCATCACCTTTATCATCATTACAAAAGCAAGCATTTAGTGTTTACTACATGCTAGAAATGTTACTAAGCTCTTTAAATACATGATCTCATTTACTGTCCTCAGTGGAATTACACAGATTAAGGAGAACTGTTCAAGGTCATGGAGCTGGAAAGTGGTAGAAATAGGATCCAAACTCAAGTACTTTGATTTTGACACCAAATCACTCTGCTATACTGCAATAGCAAATTTCTTGTAGATCTTCAAATGTGTCATGCTCCCTTGTGTACTGTCAGATCTTCACATACACTGCACTCTGTCCAGATGACTAGACTACAATGCTGTCACTCCCACACCCACAGCCTAACCAGGAACCTTCTGTATGTTTTTCAAGTCCCATCCTTTATAGTAATAGCTTCAGCTGAGTGCCCTGATGTGTTTCCATCAGCACTCTACTTCCTAACCAGAGCACTCATTTCACTTAACTGTTAGTTGCTTGTTTGCTTGTATCTTCCTCAGTAAACTTTAAATTCTTCGAGAGCAGGAAACAACTATTTTGTTCACCATTATATTTCCAACTCCTACAGGAGGGGTAGACAAAGAGGGTGCTTAAATATATACACGCCCACATCACCACTTTCTCCCTAAATTCTAGACTGAGGATGTTATTAAGTAACAACAGTGAATAATGTGAATTAGAAAACATTACTGTATCTTCACATATTTAATTTTTAAAACTTAGTTTCTATAAATATAGAAGTACTTATAAGAAATTACTCCTATGCATGTGAGAATAATTTCATGTTTGCAGGAGCATCTTCTCATAGCTTAATAACCTAAAGAAAATTTAGCATTTCCCATGAACTTTGTAAATAATTACACCTCCTCTCCAGAATCCTGCAATGTGCTCAGCTTCCTCCTCTTGGGCTGACTTCCGAAATGACATGGCAGCCACTTTTGGCCTTTAGTTGTCATTTCCTCTAATCATCTGACTTTCTGCTAAATATAGGCTATTTTGCTAAATAATTTCTTTTCCTTTGTTCTTAACATCTCATTATTTTCCTCCCATCCATTTAATCATGGTAATCCCTTACTAAGATTCAAATGATTTCCATAAACAGCTTTCTAGGACTATTCTCAATTTGTATAAATTTTGAAAATCTTATAAAATATCTCTTTTTTTAAGGAATTATTTTATTTATTGTTATTATTATTATTATTATATTTGACCAGAGAGAGAGAGAGCGAGAAAGCAAGCCGCCGGGTTTGGGACTCTAACCACGGTCAGCCATGTGAGAATCCAGCACCTTAACCACCACACCACCTCCTGGCCAGATCTTTCATGTCTTTAAATGTTATTTCAATTCATGTTTCTAATCATTCCTACCTAAAGTTCTTGAGAGTTCTAGATCCATTATTTGATGGTTTGGCTGGTCCTTGAACATGTGTTTAGAGTTCCTGACTATGATCTCCTATCTGGATGCCTTAATCTGGGAGTATTCTAAAAGGCTTAAATTAAGGGTGAATCATTCCAGGGAAAATCTGTATTTATTTTTGCCAAGCATTCAGGGACATCATCAACTTGGGCTAACTTTAGGTTAATTTCTTGCCTTCCAGTTTTTGAGACCATGTTGATATGTAAATTTAAACTCTGAATCTGAGTGATAGCAGAACCTATACTGTAAAGTTCTCAGGTGATATCTCTTCCCTCACCAGGAGCTGTGGTGGAAATAAACAGATTTCTTTGTGATGTGCCTTTTTTCTTCCTTCACATATTCTATCTGCATTGCCAAATTAATATTCCTGAAGTATTCCTCTGCTCAAAACTGTTTCTCATAAATTTACATAAACTTGTGCAAGCTTCGTAACTTCTCCTATCCAGTTTCTTCTTCGAAAAATAGGAGTATTATTGGCACAGGCTGCACTATACAATATAGAAGCCACTAGCTATACGTAGCTGGTTAAGTAAAAAAATTTTTTTCTTTTTTTGGAGAGGTTTTGGCTATAGGGCGCAGGCACTCACCAGACAGAGAGATAGCAAGCAAGAAATCACCCCCCAGAGGGGATGGCCACACCGCAATCCCTTCTCCTCCATTTTCTTCTCGGCATCTTGGGCATGCATGCACACACACGTGCCCAGCGTGAGTTTAAGCCACCGGGTCTGGGACTCAAACCGCGGTCGACTACGTGGGAGTCCAGCCATTATGCTAACTGCTGGTCCCTGGTTAAGTTAAAATGGATTAAAATGAAATAAAACTGGGACCAGCAGATGGCATAATGGTTAAGGTGCTGGACTCCCATATGGTCAACTGCAGTCCCAGACCCTGCAGCTTAAAACTCATGTCGGGCATGTGTGCATGTGTGCCCAAAATCCTGGGAGAAGAGTGGGGCTGAAGGGGTGGATTGTGGTGTGGCCTTATCCCCAGGGGGTGATCTCTCACTTTCTGTCTGTCTCTCCAGCAATTATATGTACCCTAATAGCAAAAATCTCTCTCTCAAAAAAAAAGTTAAATTAGGGACCAGCAGTTAGTGTAATGGCTATGTCGCTGGACTCCCACGTAGTAGACCATGGTTCATGTCCCGGACCCGGTGGCTTAGAACTCATGCCGGGTGCGTGTGCTTGCCCAAGATCCCGAGAGGAGAATGGAGGAGAAGGGATTGCGGCGTGGCCATCCCCCCTAGGGGGTGATTTCTCGCTTTCTGTCTCTCTGTGTCTCTCTTGTCTGTCTGGCGAGCGCACACGCCCTATAGCAAAAACCTCTCAAATAAATAAATAAATAAATAAAAAGTTAAATTAAATTTTTTAGTTCCCCAATCACAGCAGCCATAATTTAAATGTTCAAAAGCTACTTGTGTCTAGTGGCTGCCATACAACACAATAAAAATTTAAACATTTCCATTACCATGAAAAGTTCTATTGGATTGCTACATAGCTACATTGTCGATGCATAATAAATGATGGCTTTTAGTATTATCTACTAAATTGTCCAATATAATACCTGATTCATAGAAGTTTATTCAATGACTAAATGAGGCAATATACATAAGGTACTATCACAGGTGCTCAATTAATCTTTATTCCTCTTTTAGAATGTGAAAGATGAATTACCTGTTTTATGAGTTCAAAATATAATCAGTCTTCAATTATGCTCAAATCTGTGCCTTTTGTAAATTCCTGGAATCCACTAAAAAGAAAATAAGTTGTTTCAAGTCACATGATTTTAAATATGTACAATTTCAAGTCAACATACCAATTTTGTTAATGGGTGAATACCAGTTACAGAATTACCAGCAGGTTGTTTTTCTTTAAAGGGCTAATACAGGTTGAGCATTAGATAGTGATCAAAAATCCAAAACTTTCTGAGTAATACCATGGAAAACATACCTGACTGTTCATAGTCAAAAGTTACAATGTAAAGATTGTATGAAATTGCCTTCAAGCTATGTGTACAAAATGAATTTCATGTTTAGACTTGGGACTCATCCCCAAGATATTTCATTATGTATGTGCAAATACTCTAAAAATCAGAAGATGTATAAAATACAATACTCTTTTGATCCCAAGCATTTTTGATGATAATCAACTGCATTTGAGTTTTTAAATAAATGATGTTCTACCATCTGGAATTAAATATTTTAATTCTAGGATATCAATTTTATTATCCTTTCTCACACTAAACACCTTTGACTGGCCTCAAAAAAAAAAAAGTTTTTCCCTATAAGGAAACAAAGTGAGAAAATAATGATAGCTTATTATTAAGCAAAATAAAGCATCAACTAGTATGTATGATGCAATAACACAGCTGTAAGATCAGATTATCTAAGCACAAATCCTACATTTGCCACTTCTCAGATGTATGACTTCCACCAAGCTACTGAGCTTACAAAAGAATTAAAGTTGTTCAATCCTTCTATTTATAAAGTAGCCACATCCTCTGAGTGGAACAAGTTAACATTCAATATAATAATGATAGCTGATTTATCAATGCTGTACTAGCCACAGGTATGAGGAACGACTGCCAAGGATGACATCTTTCTATGTATGAATCATCCTGGATAGTATCTTCTTTGGCTTTGACGGCTCTAATTGTTGAAACTGACAATTCAGAGAAGCAGGACTTGAAATGGCTTATCGGTTTAACAATGACAACTGAGAAACGTAAGTTCACGGACAAGATGAGAAAGCTATTAACTGTCCACATATTTTAATCTTGGAAAGTTGAATGCATAAGATAGGTAATTGCCAACCAAGCAAAGTTAGAATTTCAGTGGTTAACAATTCAAGAAACCTTTCACAATACTTGAAAATATGCTGGAATAAATGTCATATAGCTGTAAGAGCTCTTAAAATTTGTTTCATATCTCTCATCTATCTTATTTTTTCAAATTTCATGAACCAGAACTGCAGTTACAAATCCTCCCCACCTACCACCACAAATACTTAAATGCCTCTGCTATTTACAGGAATTCCTTAAGCTGCCTCCTTTAAATGACAACTGCTAAGAAATAGTAAGAAAGTAAATTCTAGATGTTCCTAATGAACACATGGCCAACCCTAAGGTGCTTTTGGAGTTACACTGAACCATTAGGATAGCCCGAAGCAAAGCATAATAGAAAGTGGTTATTTTTCTAAACTCTAACTTGGCCTCCCAACAAATAGAATTGTTAAATTCCTAATTGTTAAATTCTAAAGAGTCTAAAAATGTAATGTTTTTAGAAGCTGGTTCAATGTTACATGGGGAGAAATAAGGAGAATTTGGTGACGCAAAGCAAAATTGAGTTGCATTTGGATAATGGTTTATACACTTAAACTTCAGAAAACTGGAAAAATTATTTGTTTTTAAAATGTATCCTACCGTAAAGGTAGTGAAGTTACCCAGGTCCCGCAATTTCCTTTCCGTCTGGACCCACCCCCTTCGAAGGAACTGCGCACAGTATACTGAGCTCCCTGTACACACAAGGTCACTACGGATCTCACTTTCAGATCTCCCTCTGCCTTTACCACCACCACGAAGGCATCTGAGCCCATGAGTGACAATGAGAACTCGTGCTCAACGAGAGTTTTTGTGGAACTAGGGGTAAGGTGCTTGGTCCCCGCTTAGATAAATCCAGAAAAATTAGACCTCTGCTTTCTCCGGGAGGGCGAAGAGCTAGGGTCTTAAAAGATCCCGGATCTACTTTGCCCGACGCCAGGAAAAGATGAAAAAGGAGGATCTTGGCACTAGGCACCGCACAGGGCAGGCAGGAAGAGGCTAGGGTGCAAGGAAGAAGACAGAAAGGGGACGCCGAGACCCGATCCCAGCCCACACCCGACCGCGCCCTCTGGGTCCCCGGGAGGCGGCCCGCAGTTCCTAGGATCGTCCGCCTCCTCCGGCGCCTGGCACAGCGTAGCCCCTGGAGAAAGGGTGAGCCAGCACCGGACTCACGTGCCCGCCTCGGTGATGCGGGGCTCCAAGCCGTACCCACCGTCCTGATCGCCCGAACCCGCCCTCTGACGCACCCCGCTAGAGCTGGCTGCCACCGGCGCCGAGGTCGTCCTCTTCTTCGCCTTTTCTGTTACCAACCTGACTGTACCTCCTAGGCTGGACTCGGGCTCCGAAGCCTACCCACTACCCCCTGGAGTTAAGCTAGGTCCCGGAGCGCGCTCCCGAGCCGCCTGGCCAGCCCCCGGGCGCGCTGTAGCGCGCCCACGCTGTCTCCCGTTCCGACCGCCTTTCTTTACGGCAATCGCAAAAGTGTCGTGCACGCGCTGCCTACGATCAGAGTCACCTAGTCCGCTGGAGTCGGCGGTGTTATTTCTAGTGGTGTGCTTGTAGGGGTAAGGCTGCGGGGCTCGGTTTTGGTAAAACGGCCGGGGTGTGATGGACGCGGTAGGCGCACTTCTTCACATAGGAGTGGAGACAGGGCTGGATGCTCTGGGGTGGAGCATGACGATAGAGCTGTGTGTATGGACTCGCGCGAGGCTGATGCGGTCTTCCTCCCTCGCGGAGGATGGCCTCGCGCGCGGGGTTGTGGGAGGGAGAGGGGCGTCTGTCCCTCTGGCCCCGGGAGGCCACTGAGGTGGTGGAGCGCCGGCGCGGGAGCGGGAGGACTGTTGCGTGGGGACTGAGGATCGGGGTGCGGAGAACCGCGGC